TGTGGCTGCTGCTGAATCCCAACATGGCAGAGACCTATTGGGCCTTCGTAAAAAACTCTCCCCTTCTGATGCCGATGGGGATTGAGAGCCCAATACGGCCAGCCTTGACAAACATTATTCTAAGCCTAGGAACTGTAGCCATGTGGTTGGATTCCTCAGAAGGTAAAGTATGGCCTTGAACTGTCTAGGTTATCAAGGATGAGCTTTTAAAAAAATTCTTATTGCGTGTTTGTGTGTGGGGTTGTATTGTCTCTGAGTGTGTGTGTGGGCACTCAAGTACATATGGGTGCATGCGTATGCAGGCGTGTTTATGGAGGCCCAAGCTTGATAAAAAAAAAGATGTCTTCTTAATCACTCTCCATTTTAATGTCTCCCACTGTAGTAGTGAGAATGTAATTGGTCTCTATAATCTCATAGGGAGTGGCACTATTAGGGGGTGTGGCTTTGTTACAGTGGGTATGGCCCTGTTGGAGGAAGTGTGTCACTGTGGGAGTGGCCTTTGAGGTTTCCTATGCTCAGGATACAGCTCAGTGTCTCAGTCAACTTCCTATTGTCTGGGAGATGTAGGACTCTCAGCTACTCCTCCAGTATCACGTCTGCCTGCACACCACCATGCTCCCCGCCATGATGATAACAGACTGAACCTCTGAAACTGTAAGCGAGCCATACCAATGAAATGTTTTCCTTATAAGAGTTGCCGTGGTCATGATGTCTCTTCACAGCAATAAAAACCTGAACTAAGACACCCACTGCACCCAGACTGCACTGATCCCAGCTCGTTTAGCTAGCTCACTCACCCTGGAGGTCTCTCGTCCCTGCCTCAAGCTGACAGACAGCAACTGTGCCCTCCCACCTTTTTACGTGGGTGTTGGAGGTCCAAAGTCCAGTCCTCAGGCTTCATCAAATGGGCTTTATCCCCTGCCTCGTCTCCCAAACTTCATCACTGACCTTCTGATGCTCGTGCCTCCCAAGTGCTAAGACTGCAGAGATGCACCACATTCCCAGTTCCTATGGTACTGTAGATGGAACTCGGGGCCTTCGTGCATGCTAAGCGAGTGCTCTATCAACTGAAGTGCACCCCCAGGCTCTCTCCACCTCCTTGCAAAGCTGAAGCTGCCACCAACACGTTAAGATCTAGACAGAGTGGCTTTTCCCTCAGCTTTCCTCTCCTGTGCTCTCAGACCCCTTCCAGGGGAAGCGGTTCTTCCTGCTGCTCCACCCTCTTCCTCTCTGCTTGAATTTGCATTTTACTCGGTATTGCCATTGAGATCAGGGTGGTCTGGCCATAGACGAGGGCACACAGTTACTGCTGCTGAAGTCATTTCTTTTCAGCTGTCATAATCAGCTTTCCGGGCTATGATAAAACGCCTGAGGCAATCAACTTCCAAAGCAGAAAGGTCGATTGTGGCTCACAATTTTGGAGGCTTCTGTCCAGCGTCCATTGTGTGGTTGGGCTCATAGTGAGGAAGAAATCATGGTAGGTAATGAGTGTGATAGAGCAGCCAGCTTACCTCATGGCAGGCAGAAAGTGTGGGGAAGAGAATGGAGAAGACCCAGTGTCCTCTCAGGGTATGCCTCAGACCCCTGAATTCCTTTTCCTTTGTCCCACTTCCACACTCTCTCCCAAACCTCTCTATACTGCCACAGCCCAAGGGCCAAGACTTCAACCCGGGGCCTTGGCAGGACACTAACACTGCACTTAGCAGCATCGACAAACTGCAACCCCACCACCCACCCAGACAACACTCTTGTATCTCTGTCCCTGAAACCTTTCAAACATTCTGCCGACTTTTCATATCATTTTCATCCAATTAAGAAAAGCTGAGAAAAAATTTTTTTTTTTATTTGAGAGTCTGGTAAAAGCCATACAATGTGCCATTTGTCATTTTAACCATCTCGAGTTTATGGTTCGGAGGCATTGGAGTTCAGTTGCCTTGTATGGCAGCCACCACCATCCATCTCCAGCAAGCTTTTGTCTTCCCTAACTAAACTCCGTTAAACAGGCGCTTCCCGGTCCTCAGCCTTCGATCTCAATGAACACGTTATTCTAGTCACATTCAAAGGAGTAAAATCCCCAGCTGTCCTTCTGTGACCAGCTTCTTTTGTTTAGCGGAAGGTGTTTAAGGTCCATTCATGTTGTAATCGACTTCAGGACAGGAAAGGTTTACTTTGACTTCTCATTTCCAAATATTTCCTTTTAAAGCTAAATAATATTCTTACTATGTGACTGCATTACCATATATTTTTTTTTTATTTCACAGAATGATTAGACTTATCACAGAAAGATTGTTATGGGGGGCCACAAGTTCAAATACGCCAATGTCTTGATTCCTGGGTTCCTCAATGTCTTCCTGCTTTGTGATCAAGGTCAGCTTCAAGGCCTCTCTATCTCATTGCATGCCTCAATGTTTTATTCCAAGATATATTCTTGCCAGAGATAAGTGATATCAGTGTTTACAGTCAGATCAAATACGTCTCGGTTAGGCTTCCCAGGGTTTAATACATAAAGGTGACCTCAGAATCTACTTCCTGTATGTCCTGTAAGCTTGCTCTCTGCCCCAAGCATAAGAGAATTAAGGAGATCAAACATCTTTCACGTGTCAATATGAACAGCACTGAAACGATCTCTTCTTCGTTTGATCCCCACATCATATCAATTTCAAGGTGACTAACTGAATTCTAACCATCACCCTCACTGGGATCACGTGCGTGCGTGAATAGAGAACATTTTATCCTATTAATCAGGGTCAGCAGAGGTGCCTGCACCCAGAGACTCCAGAAGTCTCCGTGGCTTAATTACCCAGAGGATCATGGCTTACCTTTGTAAGAGAGGTCGCTCCCGTTCATGGCACTCTTCAAAAGGTGATGCAGGGTCGGCCACTTTCTTCCCTCTTGTTTGCTGAAGTGCTCTGCTCCTGGTCACGTGACTGGGAGAGAGCCGCAGAAAACAGTCAACAAAAGCCTGAATCTAAATAGCTGCAGGCCGGAAATGACATTTCTCTTCTGCGTGCATGTCATTGGTAAGAATTAGCCGGAAGATCCATGATGTGAGGGGAGAGATGGTGGGAAGGGAAGTATAACCTCCCTGTCCACATGTTATAAAACACTCCTATCTGTGTTTAAGAAACAGCACAGATTCCTTGACTCCTGTCATCCTCTTTGAGACTTGGGTCTTGTTGGTAACTCTTTGTAATCCCAGCACTTGGGAGGCTGAGGCAGGAAGATTCCAAGTTTGAGGCCAGCCTGGGCTACGTACGTATCAAGACTCTCTCAAACACCAGAGTTAACAAGGGAGATCTAGCCTGACAATTTTGCTGTCAAATTTCCTTCAGCTCTCACTTGCCGAACGCTTCCTACGTACCAGATGTAGTGTCGGCCAGCTTTCCTTCACTGTGACAGACACACAAAAGTGTCAGTAGAAGAAGTCTTGATTTGTGGGTCACAGTTTCTAAGCCGTCAGGCTGGGGTCCCTGCATCTGTTGCTTTGTGCCTGAGCCAAGGCAGGGCACCATGGCAGGAGAGTGTGACAGACAGACAGAGCCCCGCTGATCACCGCCTGCCAGCCAGAGAGAGAGGAGCAGATGGGACCAGGGACAAAGTGCCCTCCCCAAGACATGCTCCCCCTGACCTCCTTACTCTGTCTCCCCAAGTTCTACCGCTTCCCAGAATAACACCATTAGCAGGAAACAGAGTTCACCACACTAGCCCACAGGGGACACTTCAAGTTCGAACCACACAGCTGTCAATGTGAGCGTTTTACATATTTCATTTATTCTAACTACTTTGTAATTCTTATGTTATACTTGAAAAAAAAAAAAAAAAAAAACCTCTGGGCCCTGTGTTAGCTTTCCAGAGCTGCCATTTTAAAAGTCCCACAGACCAGATGTTTCGAATGTCAGGCATTTCTTTTCGAAAGTCATATATAGACATCTGAGATCAAGTTACCTGCAACCGTGATTTTTTTTTTTTAAGGCCTATCTTTCCATCTTGTGGGTAGCCACCTTCTTGCTATATTTTCATACACTCTCTCCTCAGTGTGTGCCTACTTATGCATCAATTTCTGGGGCCAGGTTAGTGTTAGGACCACCCCAAAGATTTCCCTTTAGCTTAGTTTCTTCTTCGAAGAATTTACCTCCAAATATGATTGTGTTCTAAAATGTTGGGGGTTGGAAATTTCTGCATATAAATGTGGTGGGGCCACAGCCCAGAACATTCCCTAATTCTTCTTACAAAATATAATTTAAGAATACATGCAAAATTTTTGTAAGTTATTTTTGCCCAAATTACTTCTAATAAGAAAAATATTTGCTAAGGCTTAACCACCACAGACAGGATACCCACCTTAGAGCCATTTAAATATAAGGGAGGCACAGGTGGTTTTGATCCTGGCTTGGCAGCTCTCCAAAAACGGCCTTCTATATTCTTGCGCTTCAGGGTCACATCGTGGCTGCTGTGGCTCCAAATTCCACGTGGATGCTTAAGGAAGACGGAGGTGGAGAAGAAAAAGGATTGCACATCTGTTTTTTTTTAATCAAGACAGAAATCCTTCCTCAAAGATCCACTCTAGTACCTCATGAGTTAGGATCATGTCCTCGTCAAGCTCTAGCTGGCCACCGAGCAGTTGACAAGGTAATGAACTGAGTATGAATTTGGGGTGTACAGAGCCCAGAGTGTGGTGTAGGAGAGAAGTAAAATCTGTATTGGGGTTACTGACACTCCATGTTAAGGAGTAAGATTGCTAGAACGTTCTGGATAAGCTGAGACTATATCAAGTCCTTGAGTGTGTCTTAGTCACTGTTCTGTTGCTGTGAAGAGACACCGTGACTGAGGTGACTCTTACAAGAGACAGCAGTTAACTGGAGACTTGCTCATGGTTTCAGAGGGTTAGTCTATTGTCTTCACAGCGGGGAGCATGGGGCTGGAGCACTAGCTGAGGACTACATCCTGATCCACAAGCAGAGAGAATCTGCACCTGGTGTGGGCTTTTGAAACCTCAAAGCCCACTCTCGGGGACACACTTCCTCCCACAAGGCCACTCCCCCTAATCCTTCTGATCCCTCCAAAGAGTGGCACTCCCTGGTGACTAAGCATTCAGATATATGAGCCTGTGGGGTGGGGGGTGGGGGGTGAGGGGATGCATTCCTATTCAAACCCACTGAGGAAGATTTCAAGACCGGGGATGTGTAACTAAGCAAACTGACCCAGGGTTTGCACACACCTAGTTTTCTGTTTCCTGGGAGAAGACTGGGGTCTCCCCCTAAATAACAATACTGGAAAAATTCTCAGGGGAGACCATCTGTGAACTTTCCTAATACCCCCTAAAAGGCAGGCACCAGAGCAAACAAACAGCCAGCCCACATCCCCAGAATAAAAAAATGAATCGCACCTGGAACAGGGAGGTGAGTGGGTGTGAACAAGGGTGATGCGGACAGCAGGCTTCTTCTTCCCCATTGAGGAAATCTTACCTCTCAGATGAAGCAGCATAAACATTAGCTCTCCCAGGGCATATTCTCCAAAAATGACCAGGTATTGCCAGCAACCCCAGAGACGGCACACTTCAGGTGAATGTCAGAGGAAGCAACAGGAAGATGTTTAGTCCAGACACCCATGAAGGTCACCACGAAGGGCACTTTTTGTTCCTTCCCCTGGGAAGAGCATGTAGCCCTTGCCATCAGGACAGCAGCCCTGGGCCCTTGCTGTAACTCACCGTGTCAGAGAAGAGCGAGAGAAGAGAGAAATCGTGCTTTAGACATCATAATGATCTCTCTGAGTGAGTCTCTAATTCTTGCCACAGCAGTATTTTGTAAATCGGTCGCCGGCGACATCCTTGTTTCCTAGTGGTCCGGCATCTAGTGTCAGACCTCTGAAGCTTAAAAAAAGGATTAGCCAAAATAAACAAACAAACGAAAGTCAGCTTTTAAGATGTCTAGTACACACACTCCCCTGAGTCTTATTCCATTGAGGTTGTTTTGTGCTCAGTTTTTGTTTTTGCTAATAAAATACAGCATCTTCAGCTGGCCGCACAATAGGTGATTGGAGAAGGTTCTGGTAGTGTTTGCCTGCCAGTTATAATGGGAGACCTGTGGTGGGCACAGGTAAGGAGAAGGTGTTGGTTATTTGCGGCACTCTTACCCTGTGAGGAAATGGCACGAAACACGACAGAATCCACTAACAAGAGTTTTATTAAGATAAGAAAGAGAGACAGACATAACAGGCCTGTGGAAACACACGTGAATAAAGAGATGCAACCATAATATGGTGCAGGCTTATAAAGGCTGGGCAGCGCCTGCGCACACAGGCCCATGTGGCTATTCCACGCATGCGCGTAGATCACATGGTTGCACTGCGTGCTTTACGCAACCATGCAAAGCCACGGGGTCCTGGTCACGCAAGATGTTTTGACCCGGAAATGGCTATTTTGACCCGGAAATGGCTAGGCAGAAGTGTCTAGGTCTGCCAGGTATGTGCAACCATGGGGGCGTATTGTGAATCCCTAGCAGAAGGAAATATTGCCTCTACCTGCTGAGCCATGGGATTGTGGGTGTGCCCCACCCCACCTGTCTTCCGTGGTGCTGAGGATGGAACCTGGGGATGCATGCCTGCTAGGCAAGCCTCCACCCACTGAACTACATCCCAGCCCAGGAGAGCTGGGGATTTCATGAATATTGTTCGCTCTTCTTCTTATGACTAAGGGGGTTTCTTGCCTTAGTGGCCCCTGAGGGTCCCTAGTCCTCAGGGCTTCAGAAGGTGCCAGCATGTCATGCTATACTGAGGGTCACTGAGAAATTACTCCCATGTGTCCTGTTCCACAGAGGTGGACAGCACACCGCTCCTGAAGCAAAACCATTTGTATTTTAGTTGAATGGGAATCTGAGCTCTTAAAGGACCTCCCACCAGCCACACGAAGCTGATGAGTGTTGGGTCCGTCGCAAAGAATATAGCTCAGACTACAGCCCCGAGAACAGCGGACTTACTGTGGTGAGGAATCATGGCGGTAGTGGTGGGGGTCCAGCAGAGGTGGCGAGGGACGCACGCATGCTCGCGGTCTCTCTGGGGTGGGGGAAGAGGCGGCGGTGGTCACAGCAGGTCCTTGGTGCTCGGTGGTGTATTGGAGTCACGGCACCAATGTTGTTTATTCTGCGGCGCTGCCCCTCGTGGCTGGTCACTGCCCTCGGCGGCCATGCCAGTGGAGGAGCATGCTGATTGAAAGAATCATAGCCAGGGTTACCTTTTAGAGCTTTATTGGGGGGGGGGGGAGAGTGAGAGTGAGAGATGGGGCAGGGGGGAGGGAGAGAGGGGGGCCGATGAGAGGAAGGAGCGGAAAGGAGAGGGGACAGAGCACGCACAGAGGGCCCACCCGCTTTTTAGGCTGGGAAGCCAGTTGAAGGCTGATGACGTAATTAAGGACCGAATCCTTACAATGAGTCATTCAAAACACTCACTGCATTTTATTCCGTCTTGCGAAGAGGTGGAGAGATGTGGTGGGCAGTTGAGACTTTAAATAGCTCCCAGAGCTTTCAGAAGGCCGGGTGATCTGGGTGCATCCAACTATCAGGATATCTTCAATGACTTCCCAGCCTCCCATCAGCCCCAGGTCCCTCCTGAGCCCATCGTCACATGCCCACAGCAGTTTGGATGCCCTGCCTGGATTCCAGCGCCCCTGCCTCAACATGGGCCTGCCAGCTCCCTCAAGAGTTCCTATGCTGGGAAATTTGGGGCCACCATTTCACCTTGCTTCCCTTCATCACCCACCAACTGGCTCTGAAAAGGCTGGATCAGAAACACCACTCAGCTGCGGACACCTGACGCTATGTGGAATTTCCATCCACTCGTCTGACTTACTGCTAACCATCTACCAACACATTTCCACGCCGCCAATCTCCATCTCTCCCAACCTTCACCTTGCTCCAGGGTCACCTTAAGGCCAGTGTGTTTAAAGGTCTTAGAAGACCAGATTCAACGTTTCCAGCTGCGCAAACAAAGCTGGCCTTGTCTCGGCTACTTCCACTCTCCCACCTGCTGGCCAAGCTCCTGCCTAGAGCTCCAAGGACTCCAAGGCTTTGATCACGTGCACACTTCCTACTTCCCACAATGCTCACTGTTAGCACCGTTTCGCTAGGTCTCTAGAACTCATCTTCTAGGTGCTGTGGACTCTGTTTCTGCCCAGGTGTCCCTAGACAACTTGCTGTGATTCTGAGGTGGCTGGGGCAGAGGAAAGATGCAGAAACCTCAGGCAGTCCATTGCATTTGCCCAGCAGCACACGAATTGATCAGATGCAGTTCCTTCCCACCTTGGACATTGGTCTCCTGATACCAATCACGTTCTAAACTCCCCTAACAGCTATCTACAAAGAGAAAACTCTGGGGCCAGGTGATCCAGCCAATCTCTAGATTAATGTGGGCGGGCTGTAGGTGTGCCTTTGGCTATCTGAATCTTGGCACTCTGTCATAAAAATGGTTTTGGCTTGTCAAGGTAAAAAACTCACCTGAAATGACACAGGCAGTCCAGGTTCTCAGGGTGGCCTGCAAAGGACCTCCCTTCACTGCTCTGTCCCTGGTGAGCCCAGAGAGAGGCTTACACTGCTCCTCGCTGGATCTGGGCCAGCCCAGCCTCTGTCCAAAGGCCCGTCCTGCAGTTTTATCACGTTCTGGATCTATTCCGGGCCACACTCATTTCTCAGAGTGGAAACTGGGTTTTTGACAATGTGCCTTTTGCATGCAATTCTTCATTCTAATTACAACCAGTCCCCAGCAAGAAGGTCTGTGTTGAAGGGCAGTGTCTACCAGAATATAGAGTACCTCCTCCAGGCCCCTTCACCTGGCAGGATAGCATCTTGCTGGCATCTGACTAGTCTCCTTATAGTCACTTGGAGACAGAAAGCCGCTTTCTAGATATGATTTGCTAGCCAGGGGACACCTAGTGACAAAAGCGATAAATGACAAGAGCAAATGACCCAAGATCTTTGTAGGATCTCTTTTATTGTTTTAGGGGTTATAAAATAGAATGCCTCATCTTTTTTTTATACCTTATTTATTTTGTGTACATTGGTGTTTTAGTACCCTAGGACTGAAGTTACAGAAAGTGTGAGCTGCCCTGTGGTTGCTGGGAATTGAACCCGGGTCCTCTGGAAGAACAGTCAGTGCTCTTAACCGCTGAGCCATCTCCCCAGCCCATGAATGCCTCATCTTTTTATCTGGTCATTTTTGGGGAAACAAACATCTATTGCCCTTTCTAGTGCATGGGATCTAGAAGCATTTATACTAATAATAATAATAATAATAAGAGTAAACATGATGGCTATGCAGGTAAAGGCGCTTGCTTCCAAGCCTGAAGACACCAGTTCGATCCCCCAAATCTACACAACAGAGGAAGGAACTGACTCCTGCAAGTTGTCCTCTGACTTCCACAAGTGTGATGCGGTGGGAATCACACACACACACACACACACACACACACACACCAAACAATCGAATAAAAAGAAACAATAGTAAGTCAAGTGTGGTGGTGCACACTTGTAATACCAACACTCAGGAAGCTGAGGCAGGAGGATCTGGAGTTTGAGGTATATGGGAAGACCCTGTCTCACACTAATAATAATGATAATCAAAACTCTTACTTTCTGCAGGGAGTTATAGTACATTCCTTTAAATTCAACACTCCTGAGACAGAGGCAGGAAGATCTGTGTGAGTTCAAGGCCAGCCAGGTCTACATAATGAGTTCCAGGAGAGTGTGCAGCCAGAGCTAATTAGAGAGACCCTTGTCTTAAAGGAACAATCAACAAACAAAGACTTATACTTTCAAAGTTCCCTATCATCCCCGCAAGATATTTTTCGGCTTCTTATGCCTGATGCCAGGGGGGTTTTGTTAAATAGTCTATGGCTATTGGAGGGAACATTGTCAGCCCTGATGAGTGGATTCCATTTAAAGTATGTATAGACAGACTTTTATGTGTTGTGTGTAACTTTAGGTACATAGACCAGTTGGCTCCTTAGGACATTTCAGGCATCCTTACTATTAGTCTGTCTTCGTCAGTGTTCTATTGCTGTGAAGAGACACCATAACCACAGCAACTCATAAAAGAAAGCACTTAATTGGGACTTGCTTACAGTTTCAAAGGTTTAGTCCGTTGTCATCATGGCAGGAAGCATGGCAGTGTGCGGGCAGACACAGTGCTGGAGAAGGAGCTGAGATTTGCAGGTAGCAGGAAGAAAGAGACTCTGGGCTTGGCATGGGCTTTTGAAACCTCAAAGCCCACCTCCAGTGACACACTTCCTCCAATAAGGCCACACCTCTTAATCCTTTCAAATAGTGCATTGAAATCTATGAGCTTATGGGGGGGGGCGGTAATTCTCATCCAAACAACCACACTCCCCTTCCTCCTTCCTCTGTGTTTATCTCCTTCCCCTTCCCTAAAGCCTTTCCCGTTTCCCATTTCCCCCTTCAGATAACTCGCACCCTCTGTTCTCTCTGCTGCCTGCCACCATGTCCTTTTACATTTCTGGTTTCTGTGGTTACTCCAGGCTGTATCCTCATAGCTGAAGACAGAGCTAGGAGGCTCAGGTGAGAAAGGACATGTGGCATGTGTCGTTCGGGGCCTGGGTTCCATCACTCAGTGTGATAGTTTCTATTCCCACCCATTTACCTGCAACATTCAGGATTCAGTTTCTCTTTACAGCTGAATAGTATTCCGTAGTGTTTATGTGCTGTATTTCATCGTTCATAAGTCAGCTGATGGACATGTAGCTTGTTTCCATTTCCTGGCTGTCGTGAACAGAGCAGCAACGAACATGGCGGAGTGAGTATCTGTGGAGTAGGATGTTGAGGCATTTGGGTATAGGCCAAGGAGTGGTCCAGCTGGGTCAATCGGTAGCTTTACAGTTTGCAGTCCCACCAACAGCGAATGTGGCTTCCTCTTTCCCCACATCCTCTCCAGCGTTTGCTGTCAGTTGTTTCTTTATTATCGTTTCCACTCCTGGCTTTGATTTGCATTTGTCCAATTGTTAGGGCCAATGAACTTTTTTTTTTTTTTGGTGATATTTCTTAACCATTTTTCTTTCTTCTCTTAAAAACTCCGTTGAAACTCCAAGCCTATTTTTGAAAGGGTCATTTGATATACTCTCTGCTTTTTAAAATTCTTTACATGTTCTGGATATTAATCCAGCTGGAAAAGTTTCTCGCCCATCCTGCGGGCTTTCCTCTTCACTGAGTGATTGTTTCTTTAACTATGCAGAAGCCTTTCAGTTTTATGAGGTCGTACTTGTCAAGTGTTGGCCACAGTTCCTGGGCAAGCAGAGTCCGACTCAGAAAGTCCTCTCCTATGCCTAGTTCACGTAGGTCCTGGCTCTGCTTTCTTCTGGCAGTTTCTGTGTTTTAGATTTCACACTTAGGTCTTCAGTCCATTGGGAGTCAGTTTTTGTGCGAAGTAATAGGCGTGAGTCTAATTTTATTCTTCTACGTGTACATAGACAGTATTTCCAACATCATTTGTTGAAAATTCTGTCTTTTCACAAGTTTATGTTTTTTTTTTCAATTTCTTTTTATATTAGATGGCTGCTGTTACATGTACTCACGTTTGGGTCTTTGATTTTGTTCCATTGGTCTAACATGTATGTTTTTCAGTACCATATTGCTTTTATTACTATAGCTCTATAATATATTTTGAGGTTTGAAATGATAATCCCTCCAGCACTGTCCTTTTTGCTCAGGATTGTTTTGGCTATCTGGAGTCTTTTGTGGTTCCATATGTATTTTAAGATAGTTTAGTTTTCCTTTGTGGAGAATGAGATAGGATTGCATGGAATCTGTGAATAGCTTTTGGTAACATGGTCAGTTTTTTTTTTACAATATTAATTTTACCAATCCATGAACATGGGATGTCTCCACTTTCTAGTGTCTTTCTCCATTGCTCTCTGCAGAGATTAAAAGTTTTCATTGTGTAAGCCTTTCACCTCCTTGCTTAGGCTTATTCCCAGATATTTATTTCCTTTGAGGCTATTGTGAATGGGAGTGTGTTCATCTCTTTCTCTGTGCGTTTGTTGATGGGACATAGGAAAGCTGTTGATCTGTGAAAGCTAATTATGTACCTAACTCCACTGCTGAAATTGCTGATCATTTCTATGAGTTTTGTGGTAGAGTTTTGGGATCTCTAATGTATAGCATCATGTCATCTGCAGATAGGGATATTCTGGCTCCTTTCACTGTCTGTACACCTTTAATTTCCTTTTCTTGTCTTAGTGCTCCAGCTAGAGCTTTGAGCGCAATATTGAAAAAGAGTC